TGGTGAAGTTCACTTTTTTGCATACACCTTCCCCCCCCCCAATTTTTTTCAGTACTCGCTTTATTCGCAAAGTAATCTCGCTCACAATTAAGGGAAATGGAAAGGGGAATGTTTATAATGAATGCTACTTCTATATCTTATTGTTGCCAATGAACGTTGAATAAACTAATTGGAAATTCTTGAAACTTTCCGGATATCTTGAAGACGCATGGTACGATCACACATAGTTTGGGTGTGCGTGACTATCAGCCCCCCCCCCCCAGCTGTCGAAGCGTAGCGGTTTCCCCGTCCTAACATGCGCAGGAATGGAGATCCAGGACCGTGAAACACGCTAATTCCTCCATGCTCCGCCTAAAATGCAACTTGCGGCGCAGACTCCCGATCCCGTTTATACTAACAGCCGTCCGCGCGGCGCGTGTCGCGCGCAGCGCTCTGGCACTTTGCCAAGTCGTGTAATTGCGCTTTGGAATACAATTAAAACGCAAACTTGATAACATTCGAGGTGTTGGGACGGTTGCACGGTTGTTAGTATAAACGGGATCGGAAGTCTACGCCGCAAGTTGCATCTAAGGCGGAGCATGGAGGAATTAGCGTGTTTCACGGTCCTGTATCTCCATTCCTGCGCATGTTAGGACGGGGAAACCGCTACGCTTCGACAGCTGGGGGCTGATAGTCACGCACACCCAAACTATGTGTGATCGTACCATGTGTCTTAAATAAAAGTTCAACATCTATAGGAGAAAGAAATCTTTTCAGTATATAGTCTAGATATAACCGTTATTATGACAATACCGGCCTCAGAAAGACGGTGAGAAGCCAACAGCGACTGAAACCCGTATACTGGAAGAAAAACATAGTCACATATCTTTTCTGAGACCCAGACATGCGAGCGCATGAACCGCGTTGCAAACAGCAAATGAAAAAGAAACCGAACTGGATTTCATCAAGTAAACTTACCAAGAGTGGCCGTGAATCCGACACTAGAGGATACCTATCCAGGACGCTGACTAAATGCATCAATCGTGTGAGTTCTGCGTTGACGCGCACCACTATGTCATCCCAATCTTCCTGAACAATTGACATTTATGAGCTGAATCAATAGAAGCCACTAGGGAAGCACTCACCACCAAGATGGCTGCCTTGATTTTGGGAACAGTATCAAGTACAGTTGACTCGAAAAATGGCTGCCTTTCCAAATACCATTCCTGCCTTGAATACAACGAGCATGAGAGCATTATAGAATAGGGAACCTCTGACAGAGTAACTTACTTGCTACAGCTCATTAAGAACGATATCGCGTGTATCGTTTTGTTCCCATCTCGTGCAGTTACGGAGAATATAAAAGACCCGACCAAAAGATTTCGAGAAGGTATCACGGTTACTTTATGCATTAAAGGATTAGAAGGCAATTGCGTACTGAAAATGAGTACTGTGAAATTGCGAAAAATGCAATCACCAAGAAA